GGTTTATCAGATTGTATCATTGTCATCTGTTCAGTTTGGTCTCTCTTTCTAGATTGCTTAATCTGTGAGTTAAAGGGTAGGGGAATGTCTCACACTTGAGGATCTACTCTGTGTGAAGGAGACTAGGCATCTTACAAAGCGTCATGTTCTTTATCCTCACAAGTAGGCCAAGTGGGCTGAAGCTCAGAGAGGTTATTTTCCCAAGGCCATACAGCTGCTAAGTGGCTGAACCAGAATTCAAACTCAAGGCTCTCTGACTTAACTGTGCCCTTTCTATCTTATTTTGCTTCATATCTCCAGGACTTAGCATAGTACTTGGCATTTTGTTGGTGCACAGTAAATTCTTCCTTGAATTAAGTTTATTTCTAACTCACATGAATTCACACTTTATAGTCTCACTCGAATTACTCGTGGCTGTAAGGTAGTTCTGGAGGAACCCCTGGGAAGATGATACTGACTATATGAGAAATTGGATGATTCATTAGAGAAAACAGAAACACAGTGTATCTCAGAGAAGCTGATTTACATTATTCATTTATTTTTCCCTTACCTTTGGGAAACAGAACATTATGGTTGAAACACCACTAAGTTGGTAGTAACAAATCCTGAATTCTGATGTGGCTTCTACTACTAACTCAACTTTAAAATACCACCCACCTTCTGGGTCTGTGTCTTAGGTGATAAAATCAGAGTTGAGAGAACTAGGTGTCTTCTAGACCAAAGATTCATAAAAAGTTCATTTTCTCTGTGATTTTTGCATTTCCATTCAAATCTTAAAGCATAAAAATGACATTATATTGAATTTCCTTATGTTCACTTAATATACAAAAAGGATGGAGAAAAAGATACAGGAACCAAAATCCTACAACATCCCATTCAGTTCATCCTTGTCCTTTACCAAATAGCTTTCTTTAAAAAAAATGCCAATTACAGAAAGGATAACAAATCTGATTAAAGGAAAAATTATATGCTTTGTAGTTATAAAGCTTTGCAGTTACAAGATTTCATAACCCAATAAAACTTTAGAATCAGTACTGGTGGGAATGGTTGCCAACTCTCGCGTAAGGAAACACTTGACATATGTCCAACTTTGACTCTAAAACACTCATGAAATATTGCTTAATAATCCTTTATCAGAGCACTTGAGAAATAGTGCAGCAAAGAATGAAATACCTAATGTGAATGATATCTAATAATTGTCCTTTTCTTTTTTCTTTTAACATGGGGCAAGAGTTGATAATGACCTTAATAAGGATCTTAGGGGAGAAAACACAACCTTGAAGATAAAATTAAAATGACGAATCTCACAAACTTGACTAGGAGCAAGAAAAATGTAAAATCTAAGTAATACCTCTGACTAGGAGGGAGCTTGCCAAAAATAGCAAGCATGTGGGTGTAAAGACAGAAAAGCTTCCGAATTCCTTTGATGATTACTCCCTGAACAAAGCTTTTATTTAAGGTACAAATTTAGTGGTAATATCAAGCTTCATAAATGTATAGCTCTATTTAATATCCCTAATTTTTGAATTCCATTTTAACTCCACGCTTCAGAGTCCAAAATAATGCTAGCTGAAGTTACATTTTCAGGATTCTGAACAGAAATTGGAAGAATATGATCACAACAGACTAATTTCTAAGACATAAAAGCACTGACATTTTTCAGAACCATAGATCTAACTTGAAATGTATGGGCATAAACGTGATGTGTGCAGTGCTGTATCTGAGTTTTCCCAATAATAAAAATTATTCTGTAGATTTTAATTTTTTCAGGGTGATGTCAGAATTCTTCATTCTTTTATTTCTAATCATAGCCTAATGTGCAAATATGAACATGTAAGTAGTTACATATGTAAATATACACATTTATATATATGCCGACATCTACTTTCATACACATGCAAATATTTACACTTGCATATTAACACCTCCTTTGGATCTCTGTTCAAATGTCACATTATTAGAGAGGCCTTCCTTCACCGCCCTTTATTAAATATTACCCATTTCCACCTAATTACTTTCTATCTCTCTTGCTTTTCTTTCTTTGTTTTCAAGACTCTTATTACCAGAAGCATATTATGGAACATTTTATGTATCTACTGTCTGCATTTCCTGCTATGGTATAACTCACAGGAGAGGGGCAATTTTTTCTGTCTTGGTCATTGCTACACCCAGAAGTTGGACGCAGAGGTGTTCAGCAAATATTCACTGAAAGAACAAATACGTAACACTGCTTATCTTGTGTGTGACACCCTGCTGGTCATTCCACACACAGCAACTCATGGTCTCATTTAATCTTCTGAAAAGACTATGATTTTGCTGCATTATTATCCCCTTTTGCAGAGGTGAGTCTTAAAGAGGTGAAGAAACTCTCCCAAGTCACCCCCACCTGCCAGTGCATTCAACCACTCAACTCTGCTACCTCCTCATCTGTCCCTTTGCTGAGGTTACTGGGCAGGCACCTTCTTTTGCCAAAGGTCTAGTCTCTTCACTTCTCTCTGAGGACACCACATTCATAGTCACTGTAAAGCTTTGCCCAGGTCACTTCATCTGTGGAGGAAGTGAGATCAGGGACGAGTTCCCAGGGTCTTACTCGTCTCTGGATATTTGCGCTTATCTAATTCCTTAAGTAGATTCCTCCATTCCAGGGAGAGAACATGAGCAAGTATCTCAAAATGCCATGAGAGGGGCTCTAATTGAGCATCTCCTTAGCACCCATAGGTGAGAGAGATGAGGGATGAGATTGCTGAGATCCTCTCTAATAAAATATCTCCACATCTTCTAAAAACTTTCAGCTATTTCTCTCCTCCATCTCTGCACAAAGAAGCAGTCACTCACTTTTCTATGTCCCCATTGAAGCTTAGTCTGTTATTATTACACATAATTACTTACACGACTGTCTGCCCCTTCCCTACACCCCATTTCCCGTGAAGTCCCATGCATGGCATACAGTTAGCACTCCATCAGTGTTGGTTGAATGACCACTGAACAGGCTTCTATTGTGTTTTCCTGATCATTATTCATTTTCCCTTTTGAAAAATAATAGCATGCTAATTTTAAAGGGAGGAACTGATCTTTCTCCATTTGTTCCAGTTTTGAGAGAACACTCCATCAAGCTACCCCACCCTCCCCTGGCCCAGTGGTCAAGCCGGTGACCAATCTAGGCCAATCAGAAGCTCTCTTTCTGGAATTTCAACCTTGATCCAAAAGGAGCTCATGATTTAGCCTGATGGTAGGGACCTGAGAAGATGGGTTTCAGTCTTTCTCAAAACCTAGCTCATCACTTTCCTTTCGATTCTTTGACCCATCCCGTGTACTTCCAATAATGTCTTTTCCACAAGTTAGCCACGGTCAGTCTCTGTCCCTTCATTCAGCAAATACTTAACTGAGCACTTACTACATAGTCTCGACTACTGAGCAAAACACACAAGGATCACTGGTCTTACGGAGCTTGCATTTTATCAGGAGGACAATGGACAATATAAAAGTAAGAGCGACGGGTGTGGGCAGGTAGTTTGCAACTTTAGAGTGGTTAGAGGACCCTCACTGAGATGAATGACACTAGAGCAAAAACGTGAAGGAGGTGAGGACGTGAGCCTTGTGATACCTGAAGAGAGACTTCCAAGCACAGGGAACAGCCAGCAAAAAGGCTGTGAGGCACAAGCTTACCTGATGCAATAAAACAAGGCAGGTCATCGTGGCTGAATCAGAGTGAGTGAGCAGGACGATTCTCGAGAATGCGAGCAGAGGTAACAGGGTCCCAGCTTATGAAAGGCCTTTCAGGTCGTTGTAGGGATTTCAGCTTTTACTCTAACGGAAACTGGGGAGCAGTAGAGGGTTTTAGTAGAGGAGTGACAAGACCTTTCATTTTAAAGGATCACTCCTGCTTCTGTTTTGAGAATAGATTTCAAGTAGTAAAAAGTAGAAACGGGGATGATTTGGAGGCTCTTGTAATAAACCAGGTGGGATACGATGGTGGCATGCACCAAGTCGGAGCAGTAGAGGGGGCAAGATGTGGTCAGATACTAAAAATATTTTTAAGGATGAGCTAATACGATTTCCAGATGTAGGTGATGAGAGACAGAGAAGAGTCAAGAATGACTCCGAGGTTTTAGCCTAAGCAGCCAGAAAGATGGAGTAACCATCAACTGAGATGGAAAGGCTGAGGGTAGAGCTTAATGGGTGGAGATGAGGAGTTCAGTTTGGGACATATGTTGGGCATTTAGGTAGAAATGGCAAAAAATAGTTAGATATTTGAGTACAGAATTTAGGAGAAGAGTCTGGGCTCAGAACACAAATTTGGAAGTTATCTCTGTATACATGGGATTTAAAATCATGAGACCAGATGAGATCACCAAGGGAGCCGGTGCAGATGGATAAAAGACCAAGGACCTAGCTTCGAGGCACTTCAATGTGAAAAGATCAGGGACAGGATAAGGGTGAGAACAGGAGAATTGGGGACTGTAAGTATTAACAAAGAAGAACAAAGAAATGACTGTATCATCCAAAGGATCAGGGCAGATAGAAAAGTAATACACTTATTCAGTTCCTGACTTCTTCCTTCTCCAAATACTCTTGATTTTCCAGTTTCCATCTTTTTTTTCCCCAAAGTCTAACTCATGTCATCCTGCTTGTCCCTGAAGATGTGTTTTTGCATTTATTTCCTCTGCCCTCAATTCAGCATTTAATCAAATTCTGCCTCACATTGTTACTCTACTCTTTTCTTGTATGTCTTATCTTTCTCCAAAATTATTAGCTCCTGGAAGGCAGAGACAGTGTTTTAAATGTGTTTGGTGTTCTTATAAATGAGCACTAGACTATCACCCACACAATGGGCACCTGACAAAGCCCGACTGCTGTTCTCTGTCAGATTAGTTTATAGTCTCTGATAAATTAACCAATTCCACCCTTTATTAATATTTTAATAGGTAAGAATAATAACAAGGACAAAATTAATTTTGGTATCTTATTCCATCTCAAAAGCAGAACAGTGTATCAACGTGAAATAAAATGTCATAGAAACTCAGAGCCCAACATAGCTTCAATGTCCTATGAAACCCTCTCATTTGTTTTATTTCTTTCCTCTCCTTTGCCCCATGAGGTCCTCATTAAAAACAGTAGATTTTGTACATCATTGCTAGGTCATTCAAATTGCCCAAAAATAACTCTGACAAGATAATATTCCCATCTGGCCCATCTCCTCTAGATTTTCCTTCTGCAAACAGGAGAAGGGGCTTCATTCCTGCAAAGCCTGCATCTCACTAAATGGTTGAAAATCTCAGGACAACTCACACCAGCAGATGTCGTGGGGAGCTTGGGAAGGAAAGCCAGGTGATAGTAGTGCTCAATTTCTCTCATGTGGGTTGTCCAAACCTGCTGTTAATGGACCCACCTGCCCTCTTGAAACCCCAGGTTTAGGCCAGGGCAGAGGCAGAAGCCATGGGCTCTACAGTTTGTCTCTTACTCATCCTGAGGTGCTGGTTCCGGTCTAGAAAGGTCACTCTGGGTAGAACACTGCAATTGATAAAAGCCCGGGACCCAAAGGGGCAACATACTAGCCTGTTTCTGCTAAAATCCCTCAAAGAGGAAAAGTGCTGTGATTTAGCCCCTGACCCCAGCCGGACGTGTGATTGATTCTGAGCAGATCTGCCAGCCTGCTACAGGAGCCTGACTATAAATTAGAACCAAACAGAGCTTTTTCTCACTGCTTTCTTAAACTTTGTGCAAAGGCACGTTGGTATAAACTTCCCAAATAGGTCTTTGTTCTTTGCATCAGTATTCTGGGAAACCATTTGCTCAGGATACATCAGACTTTTTTCATCTTGGCCTTGAATATTTAAGATCTGCTGCACAGAAGATCCCTTTTACCTTTCACATTCAAGTCATGGGAGGATACTAGCGTCTTTCTCAAAGAAAGTCTCTTTCTACAGGGAAAGTTCAACCACGTTGAGTTTAAGTAAAAATTCAAAATTCTCATGTTTTACTCCTGCTTTTAACCTCATACCCAAGTTCTAAACTATAATAATAATAATAACAAGTTCCAACTTAAAAAGGTAGCATCACTAGTAGAAAGAAACTGACAAATTGTTCCCACTCTGCATCAAAGACTGGCCTCAACTCCTGATTCAGCCTTCTGCCTTCTTGTGTCACATTTCCTCAACTGTAAAATGAGGGGGTGACCTCTAAGTTCCTGTCTATTCCAATATTCTATAAAAACTGTCCATTCGAATTACCTCTTTTCAGACAGTTGGAAAATAGTCCTGATTTTCAACGGCCTCACTAATTGAAATATTTTCCTCGGTAGTAGTACTTCGCTCACACCTTAACAGCTTATTTCCTAACCTCTCTGAATTTATATAAAACTTATAATTTTCCCTCAGTTATAGAAGTTCGGAAGTGCTGTCTGTCCCACACTCTGTTTCCCAAATCTCATACCGTAGATGATTTAACTTGGGAGTTCTGAAACATGTGATTTCATAGCTGGAATATTTTTATATATGACCATAATTTGAGTATGCTGCCTTCTGTCACTGCAGCTTAGCTAAGTGATTCAAAAGTAGGAGGGGAAAAAAAAGACAGACAAAATGACTACTTTTACCAAGACTGATGATAGTGGGCACTGAAGGGGTTTGCTTTGGTAACCTGGAAACAGCTGTCACTTTGAACTCAACTTCAGAACAGCAGTTTCCAGATCTGCAGCTTCCTTGACACTTTAGTACTCCAAATAGTGTGGTAAGGGAATCTGTCAGTTAATATTGATCCTAAGCCAACCTGAAGCATATATGTACAACCACTCACAACTGACACTTTTCAGAAACAGGGAATTCGGTTTTTTTTCCTCTTCCTACTCTCCTTACTTGAGTACTGATTTCTGAACCTTATAACCCAATCATGTAACAAACATCACATTCCAGACTGCTTCAAGCCTTGTATTTGATGCTTTGAAATTATTAACAAAACACCAGAATCTGTATTTAGAAATATTTTCCTATTCAAAAGAGTCACCTTAGAAAGTATGAATTTATAATGCTGGCACTGCTGAAACACACACACAGAAGAAAAAATTAGAAGCTCCTCATTTGGGATTACCATCGGTTTATGAGAGCATAAGAAAAGCAGTCACATTCCTTTATAATCGAAATGTGTTATATTTAAGACCCTAAAGGCTACGTACCCAGACCATTATAACAAG